GCTGTTGCCCCCCCCCCCCCCCCCACACACACACATCCCACCACCACTGACTGGTTGCAAGGGCTGTCTGTCATACAGCCCTGCCCCCTCCAATTGGCAGTGAGGAACAGAACCACATGGACAGCCATCACAGCCAGTCAGCACCAAGGGGCCGCCAATGGGGGGGCACTGTGCTTTGCCCCCAGAAATGGCTGCCGGGCCTGCATTTTCCTTGCAAAACCAGTTGGCCGCCACCTCAAGCTCAGGAGGTCCCTAGTCTGAATTCAGTCTGAATTTCTTCCTTTCCTAGTAGTGGTGTCCCTTTTAATGCTTTCAGAGGATCTGCAAGGTTAAAGTGTAAACAGTTGAAGTTGGACAGAAAGACTTTGACATCTTTAGTCTATCCTGATGAGGATTTTCAGTTATCAGGTGTTGCTAGCTAAATGCTATAGGTGTTAGTTGATATGTATACAACATATTTTTGATTAATTATTGAAAGATTGAAAAGAAGATTGATCATAAAAGGAGGCATTAGGGTTTGCATAGAGTTCTCTTCAGACTGCTTTAGATGCAGCTGGTACAGTCTCTGTCCACAGGTTTTCATTGTTCCTCTGGCTATCCACAGCAAATGACTACTGCAGCACGTTCTGTTTCAATTTTTGTGCTTAAATATCATAGACACAAGTGCATAACTGCAGTTCTTGTCACTTACGCATATAATTACTATCTTCCTTGTTTTGCTGTAGGGCACTGGTCCTCATGTGCATCGCCCAGTAGATGCTGAAGGCCTAATAGCTCATACCAGTACCTCACCTCAACAGATACCAGAACAGCCAAATTTTGCAGACTTCAGCCAGTTTGAGGCATTTGCTGCATCAGGTGTAAATGAAGAGGAAGAAGATGAAATTGAAACACACTCAGATGTCTTGCAGGTAAGCAGAAATGTAGATGTTGTACATAACAGTATGTCTCTTTGGTGATATCCACTTACATATCAGAAGAAAAAATACCAACTCATTTTTCTTTATCAGTCATAACTTCTTGATTCCAGAAGTCTCTCCGTTTATTCATGTATAGGTGAAGAAGGCTTTGAACCAGTGATTTTTACTGCAGGATTATTCCTAGCTGCCCTGACCTTCCATACTAGCTCTTGTGATGGCTAGAGGTTTGATATTACACTGGCCACTGAACTGTCTGTTTAAGCAGAAGTTGAGCAGAGTAGAATATCTGTTAAAGCTTCAACGGGAATTTGACTTTCAGACTTGAAATCCAGAGTATTGGACAGGCGAGCAGCAGGGGAGACCATCATTCAGGAATCCCTGTATAGTGAATCCTTGAGAGGCTCAGTGGTGCACAGGGATTCATTTATTGGGGTCCAAGAAATTGCAAAAATGTATTTCCAGGTTTGTCACTGACCTATTAGGTGGACCTCACATAAATACTTTAATGCTTCATGTTGGTTTCCTTTCCCCCCTACTTTTCTGTCTTGTCTAAGAGTGGGGCAGGGACTGTTACACTAGTTTTATACACTGCCTAGCACAAGGAGCACTGTTCTCAGTCAGTCAGGGGTCTTCAGGTATTACTGCAAGATGAACTGTTCAACCTCTGACTTAAAGCACATTACCTCAAAATATTTGAAGCTATCTTCATGCTGAGATTTATTTTCAGTAGAAAGAAGTTCCTGTTAATGGTTCAAAAGAACCAGTTATATTGCTGCCTCTCAGAGTGTAGCTTTCTTAATACAACCTTGTCCCAGGTCACAATAATGAGACAGCAGTGTGTGTTCCCTAGGAATACCAACCAGCTAGTGTTGGTAATTGAGCACAGTCTTTACTCTCCACCCTCAGGTTGTTAAAAGGCGGCTTAGATGCATGAGATTTGAGAATGTAAATTGGGTCAGTCTAACAGGAGAAACTGCCAGTATGAAATATGCAGTCATTCTGCTTACTAAATACAGTATTTTTAAACTATCCATCTAATTCTCTGCAGGCTGAAAAACCCTCTGATTCTGCAAGTTCTCTTAGAGCTGCCAAAACAGAGGGAAGAGTTGAAGACAAAGCAGCTACTAGTGTCCCCAATAACACAGTAAGTAAAATGTACTGCAAAGGGAATGAAAGTTTCAGATGCATACAGGAACATGTATTGAAGTAGTAGCAAGTAATGATTGCTACATCTTAGGTTGTTTGTTTCCATTTGAACCCAGTTTTCTTTGCTTCCAAACTTTTAAATACTTATATTCATAGCTAGAGGTATTATATGTTGACAGGACTGGTTCCATTTTGCATTTTATGTTTTAAGGAAAATAGATTTGGAGATAAATGGTCAAATTAAGTTACCCAAATTGAATCCTTTTTTGTTAGTTGTTTAGAATCTTTAGGGACAGATGGCTGAAGCAGTTATTCATGGTCCAGGGATCATGCAAGAAGTAAAGATTTCTTTGGGTGATATCTTTTAGTGAACCTGAAGAAGGTCTTGCATTCAAAAGCTTGTCTAACCTATCCCAAGTGTGTAGTTAGTCTACTAAAGGATATCATCCAAAGAAATCTTTGCCTTGCAGTTATTCATAACATACATGCACACTTCCATGGTTAACTACTGCTGCCTTGAATTGTAACTATTCTTGCAGCTGTTTTGATGCCAGCAGGGGGAGATTACTCAAAGTAGATTGTTTTAAATCAGTGTTTTTAGGACTCAGGTAATGCTTTGTTTCCAGGGCAAAGGCACTACACCCCTTGCTCCACCACCAAAGCCTATTCGCAGAAGATTAAAATCAGAAGATGAGCTGAGACCTGAAGTTGAGGAACATGCACAGAAAACAGGTGTCATAGCTGCTGTTCTTGCTTCACAGCCATCAATTCCTAGGTAACAGAAGATGTGTATAAATACATCTGTTAATGGGACATTTACACTTAAAAAGAAAATAAAACTGTATTGATTAAATACTAGTGGCTATAAAATCAAATGCAAAACTAATCAATGAGTGAAACCTAAATCTAAAGGCTTTTAAATCAGTCTCTGAAAGAATCCCTGTTAATATACATGTGTATCTTGTAATGCACTTGAATTTTGGGGGTGTAAAGTGATGCATGTTTTGCATCTTGGAGATTTTAAATGCTATGTATAAGTCTATAGGGGTATTAGTTATAAATAAAGTGCTGAACATGGACAGTCTTGAAATTTAACTAAGTCTTGTATCCTTTGCCTTTTGCTTATGTTAGGCACGAGGAAATTAGTTTGGTATTGTGTGTTTGTACATTTAAATCTTCCAGACTACCATGGCAATTTATGAATACAGTTTTAGTTGTTATTTTGGAAAGCTTCTATGTAGACAAGATTGATGAACTACTTGTTTTAATCTGTAGAGAGGCAAGCAAGGGGAAAAGGTCATTAACTACACAATGTTGTGAAGAATCAAAATGTTGGTTGCTGAACAGCTAATAGAGTCTAAGGAATTGAACTGACCAGTAATACAAGTAATTAGTTTTAGTTCTTGGCAGTGAAAAGATTTCTTAAAATATTTTTAATGTACCCTCAGATCAGTTGGAAAAGACAAGAAGGCAATTCAGGCATCAATCAGGCGCAATAAGGAAACCAACACTGTTTTGGCCAGATTGAATAGTGAACTACAGCAGCAGTTAAAGGTAACACCATTGTTCTGTATATCTGCTTATGTAAAGCTGTGCATGTAGTGGGGACAGAAAGATGGTGATGGAAGTACTTAAGTAGATGTTTGTGTATGGGATATGTCGGTACTCACAAATGGTATGTGGAAAAAAGCTTAGGAAACCTCTACTTAAAATGTTAAGCAGTTCATATATATCATGTTGTATTTTCTCGCATACAACACCTCAGAATATAATAGGCACCTTGTTTTTGAAAGGCAGAATGAAGAAAAAAAGATTTTTCCAGAGTTATGGCTGCATGGAGCAGGGGCACAGCCTAATCTTCAGCTGACTCACCCTCTCTTTCCTGCTTAACTAAAGGGGAAACCCTAGCTGCTGCTGAAGACCCGTCTCCATGGGTGGATCTATGATTTTGAAAAGGACTAAAGTCTCCAAGGTTGTGAAATAGGAGGAGAGAGACCAGGAGCAGCTAGCAAACAGCAAAAATGTCCTTTAAAAAGGTTAGCTTGATTAGTGGAACATCAAGACCATTAAAAAGGAGAGACTATTGTTAACACCTGGAGTAATGAGCTGCTAAATCAAATGACTCAATTAGCTGCCTGAATAATAATGCAACAGATGCTGCACTGTGGATCAGGAATCAAAGCAGAATGCTTCTATCCTGGTCAGAAGATCAGCTTCCCCACTTAATTGCATGCACCCCAGTTTTGGAAGGAAAGGTGCCTGTTGTTTGTGAGAAAATACAGTAATTCATATAGAACCTTGGAATTGCAAAGACTTTGCCTCAGGGGTTCTACATGGTGCCTTTCTTCTTATTTCTTTTGTATTACTGATTGACTTAGGTTGCAAACAGACAGTGCCATAAAAAAAAATTATGGCAGCACAGAAAAAACAAACCAAATATCCATGTTCTTTGTCCCACCACAAATGCATAGACTTCTGCCTGTGACAAGGTAGTATTAATTTCTGCCACTATTTTGTGATGAACGCTTGTTTTAAGGTGGGAGAGGGCAGGCAGCTCAAGGGGCTTGCCCTCCACTTCCAGAGGTTGAGGGGCCCAAGCCTGTATGCCCTAGGGATTTCCCTGCAGGGTATTTCAGGGTACACAGGATCCAGCCCCAGGGACACCTTCTCAGGCTTCCCTGTTTGCAGAAGCACACCCCAAAGTGGAATCCGTAGGCACATCTCTGCAACAAGTGAGGAATCCCAGGGTTCCCCGTCTGTAGAGATGTGCCTGGGGAATTTATCTCTGCATCTCTGAAAATAGGGAAACCACAGTACCCAACTTGAGGCGCACCATGAATGTTGTCCTGCAGGATGCATGTGGGACAACTGGTGATGCGTCTCCCCCAAAGAAGCAGATTAGCTGTGCTGGGTACATCCCACCACAGCTGATCTGCTTCACTTGGCAGTGTCTGTTTATAGGCTTACTTTCAACAACCGGCACCATACCTACAGGTTAGGGAACTCCCCTCTTGTCAGCACGGAGGCGGAAAAGGATCTTGGAGTCGTCATTGACTCCAAGATGAACATGGGTCGGCAGTGTGGGGAGGCAGTTAGGAAGGCCAACCGTACCTTGTCATGCATCCACAGGTGCATCTCAAGCAGGTCCAGAGAGGTGATCCTCCGCCTTTATGCAGCACTGGTCAGGCCACAGTTGGAGTACTGCATCCAATTGTGGGCGCTGCACTTCAAGAAGAATGTGGACAGCATGGAGAGGGTCCAGAGGAGGGCCACTCACATGATCAGGGGACTGCAGGGCAGGCCCTATGAGGAGAGACTACAGGACCTGAACCTGTTCAGCCTCCACAAGAGAAGGCTGAGGGGGGATCT